TGGTTATTAAGTCTAGAAGACTTTTGGTGGAGTTCTTGGGGTCTTCTATATAGAGTATCATGTCATCTGCAAATAATGACAATTTGAAGTACAATTTTAAATTCTTGATTTCTTGGTCTCCTTTCTACCTAATTTTATTTCTTCTGTCCTACTTCAAGCTGACAGGAATGGTCAAATTCAAATTCAAATCAGCTGTCTGGCAGCAAGACATGAATTACAGCCCTATAGCATACTACTTGTTAAGCAGTAATTCTTATCTCCCCATCCACCATTTTACTTTTTGTGATTCAATGCATTTGAGTAGATATACTTCTTTTTCTTTTTTTTTTTTTTTTGTTAGGATCTAAATTGCCCTGCCTGGGCTAGAACTTGTAGTCTTCCTGCTTCAGCCTCCCAAGTGCTGAGACTACAGGTATGCCCCACCATGCCCGGCACACTCAAACTATTTTCGTGACTGACTTATTTCATTTAGCATAGTGTCCCCAAGGCCCACGCATGTTGTAGCACATGTCACTTTCCTCCCAGGTTGGTGTCACCAGGCAGCACTGGGGTTGCTTTCCCCTCTTGGATGTTATGAATAATGCAACTGTGAACATGGGTGGGCAGATCCCCCTTTGAGATCCTGCTTTCCATTCTGTTGTATGCAGTTTAGCGGCACAGGTGCACATTTCAGGGGGACAGGTCCAGCCATGGTTGGGGACAGCTGAGCTGGGAGGGGCAGATTGCCTCCAAGGAAGTGGGGGGCCTCTGACCCTCTGTTATGTGCTGTCTTGCTCCATTTTGTGTTACTGTGACAAAATGCCCAAAGCGGGGTCCTTTAGAAAGGAGAGGTTCTTATTTAGCTGACAGTTGTGGAGATTCAAAAGTATGGCATTGGCCTCTGCTTGCTCTGTGAGGGGCCTCGTGCCTCGTGGGAGATGGGGGTCACAATGGTGGGAGTATGTGGAAGAAGACAGGAACAGGCGAGTGAGCTGAGAGTCCAACTTGCTTTAGGACAATCCATTCTTACAATACTGTGGAGTCCCAAAAGGCCCAGAGCTCTCAGGAGGCAGCTTTAGCCTGCTCACGAGGGTGGTGGCCCCGACTCATTACCTCCCACCAGGCCACCTTACCTCCACACCGGGGACCAGGCTGCCAGCATGTGACCCTTTGGGGTCACACTCAAGCCATCTCCACACTGCAGCATCAGTTGTCTGCTTGGCAGGTACCAGGAGATCCTCCTGGTGGGGATTTCAGAGGGCCACATGGGCCGTCTTCCTGCTGCAGTCAGGACAGGCAGCTCCTCCATCATCACACAAGAATTGAGTTAAACATGAATGGTGTACAAATAACCATATGAAGATGCTGACAACACTGATCATTAGAGAGATGCAAATCAGACTGTGTAATAACCTACCCAGAGGAACTCACTCTCCAGCCTCACCTGATCCAAGGTTTGTGGGCGTGGCCTGAGGATGGGCTCACTTCCCTGCCCCATGAAGCTGAGAATATCAGGAAACCCCCTGGCTGAGGGCCGGCTTCCTCCTTCGGTGCTGCTGGTCACCAGCACCTGGGGCCAACGTTGGAGCACACAGTACATTTGAACAAAAGCTAGCCTGGCCCAGGCAGCTGTCCTGGGGCGGGAAGGGGTTGAACCAGTAGGCTGCCCAGTATTTCCTACAACACCCACCGCACTAGAAACAGGCCGGGAAGAGGATAAGAGGTGCACTTGTACATAGAGAGCTCCAGGGTGGGCCTATGGGTGAGAGAGCGAGGCAAGGTGATCTAGAGAGGAACATTCCAGAACCAGCTGAGCAGATGCCCAGACCGGAGACAAGCATGTGCCCCCTTAGGACTGGTGACCTTCCCTGGAGCTGACCTGCCTCACTGGTCCCTCTGGCCTTTGGGCCCAATGCTGGAGTGATGACTGGGATCCGAAGGAGGCAGGCAGGACCTGCTGAGGGCTTGGGAGGAATCACCAAGTGCACAACCTGAGGTCCTATGTGCAGTTTTAAACCTAAAAGAGGGGCCATAAATAGAAACATGGACATACAGCTGAGCCAGAAACTTCCCAGGAGTTAAGAGGTGAGGTTTTGTAATCATGGAGCAGGCTGATAAGCTCCAGGCTCTTCTGTAGGATGAGCAAAGAATTGCAGGCATACAATCTAAGGGGCAAGTGAAAAAGGTTACATTGACTGAAGATCACGGGAAGTGGTGTTCAGCACAAGTCTGCACCAACAGAAGATTCAGTGCAGACAGAACAAGGGGTCGGGGCAGCAGAAAAGGCACAGCACATGGCAGTGGCGCATAGATCAAACCAGGGTTTCAGAATTTAAAAGGACAGGCACCTCTGCTTAGGTGCCTCCCCTGAACCTCTGGGTGTGATTGATGGGAGTGATAGACTGATGCTGTTATCTCAAGGGCTCTCAACACGCATGCTCATCCCAGAATTCACTCTGATCTTAATTATTGCATGGTATGCAGTGCATATTTATGAACCCTTAATGAGATTGGAGTAGGGTGAAGGTGACTGAAGGTCAGGCTATGTCCTGACAGTGATGGTGAACCCTTTAGAGATGAGTGCCCCAACTGCAACCCCAAACCCACTTATTTAAGCCAACACCAACTCTGAAATTAAACCTGAATACTGAGGTTTTAGTTTAGAAAAAACAACTCATACATGAACATCTTTTGTCTAAAAAAAAACAAACAAATAACATGAGGGCCATAGGTTCGTCACCACTGGTAGGAGATCTAATGCTCATGTGCTTTTGCCTAGAGCATTAGGGATCTGAGCTTTTGTTATTTTATTTGCTACCTCCCTTAGGACAATAGAAGATAGAATGACCTTTCAGTGCTTGTTACATTTGTATCTAGATGTCTCCCCAAAGCCCGTTATGCTCATAGGTGGGGAGTTTGGAAGGTGGCTGGGTTAGGGTGTGTGAATGTGGATTAAAGGTGTGATACTGGAATTAAGAGGGTGGATAATGGAAGCCCCACCCTGGGTGTGGGTGGCACCAATCAATAGGTTTGTAGCCTGGACGGAAAATAAAGAGACAGAAAGAAGGCAGGCCTGCAGCTGCTTGCTGCTTTGGCTGCTTGTTGCCTTCCTGCCTGCCACATCTTAGAATGTTTCTCCTCTGCTATGCCCTCCTCCCACGCCACCATGTTTTGGAACCAACCAACTATGGACTGAAACCTCTACAAACTGAGCTGAAATAAACCTTTCCTCCTTCAACATTGGGTACTGGGTATCTTGTCTTAGCAATGAGTAAAGTAAGACAGTGCTGTTTTAAATTTAGATGGATGGAAGGAGGTGACTTCCTCAGCTCCACTGTTTCTAACTGTACTAATTTTGAATTCTTTCTTTCTCTTCTCCTTCTTCTTTCTCTCTGTTTCAGCCTCTCTCTTTCTCTCTCCCTCCCTCCAGGAAATCACTGAGTTCTTAAGCTGTGACAAACAGTACAGGAACTGTGACAAACAGTACAGGAAGCTAAATCTGGTAGAACTTGGACAATTTAAATCAAGTCTTAAAGACAGAGGCAGAGAAACCCAATCGTGAGTGCATGGGCCAGAGCAGGTAAGGAGGGACCAGACTAAGATAGGCCCGAGAAGGTGCAAAGGCAGGACATAGAGGGAGGGCTCCAAGGTGCAGTTTGGGGAGTCGACCACAAGGGCCAGACACAGGCCATGGAGCAAAGAACTCTGCTGTTTCTAGGAGACCTAGGATTGCCACTGAGTGCTTGGGTCCTATGAGAAATGCAGATACAAACCTCCAATCAGATCTTTAGGAGGTTACTTTTTAAATGCATTTAAAGTAACATGATTTTATCACCTGTTTATGCTGCTGCTTCTCCCTCTAAATCATTGTACTACACTTGACCTTAGCCAAAAGTCCAAGAAGTGATCCCCCTAAATCACTGTTGTTAGGAAAAAGGAAAAGAAGAAGCAGAGGTGTGAGCTCAACAGGACAGGTTTATTGCAGAACAAACCTGAGAGGGACCATGCTGGCACTAGAGACCCGTTCAGGCTATGGGGTCTTTTGTAGGGTCACAGGGAGGAGAGAGTTCAGTAAAAGGGGCCTGTGGCTCCCTGCCAAGAACCAGGCTTGGGAGAGCACAAGCAGTAATGGTTGCCCAAGGTTGAGGCCTGGGAAAGTGCAGGGAGTAGCAGCTTCTATCCATAGCAGGGCTGCTAATCATGTCAGGAGTCTCCAGGTGCAGCTGTGCTGGGAGGGGCAATTTAGAGGGTTCTCTGATCAGGATGGCAGGGGCAGTTGGATTCCTTCAATTGTAAACAGTCATGCATTTGAAAAACAGAAAGTCCCCAGTCTGATGCAGGCAAAAGTCACTCTTTCAGGATGGGGAACAAAAGTTCTTTCATACCTGAGATGTGAACCAGCCACACAGCAAAGAGGAATGAAGCTGTATCACAGAGACATAGTCCAACATTTGATTCTACTTTGGGAGTCTGTTAAAGTCAGAGGTCTCTCTTGGTGAAAACACCACGGATCTAGGGGAAGTTCCCTTCCCAGTCATAAATCTTGGTGACAAGGAGAAGCAACCAGCACAGCCAAATCAGTGCCCATTTCCTGTAGGCCCAGGTAGAGAGCGGGGAGCAGGGGAAGCTTACTGGGTCCCGCCCCATCACAGCACACAGAGCAACGGGTTATTCTCCACCAAAAGCAATTCCATTTCTGACCCAGTGTAACTCACTCATTCGTTCATCCACTAAGTACTGCATGCCCTTACTGTGCCAGTTGCTCCTCTAAAGAACTGAGTTCCAGCCAGGGACGGGGTGACCCTCCTTGGCAGGGCTGTTGGGGGTTCCCCAAGGCCTGCTTCTCCTTGTCTCTCTCGTGTCAGAGCCCACTGAGGTCAGACAGAGGTCTGTTTCAAGGTGCCCCTGAGCAATGGGGACCTGGAGGAAGGTGCAGCCTCAGTGCCTCCTTGTCTGCCCTGGATTGGGGTGGGGGCTGCCCCCTCCTACCCCAACCTACTCCCCTTCCCAATTAATAGCCTCAGTGTCCCAAGAGCGTGCCCTGCCCTGTAAAAGACCTCACAATATCAGACTGGAAACCCCAGAAGCAGGGGACATTCCCCAGTCTCCAATCCCAGGAATGTTTGTTTTCTGGGTGGAGGGTGAGAAAGCATAAAGATATCGAAATCTGCTCCAACGACATCTGATGCTCATCAGAAAGGGGAGGGCAGGGGATAGAGGAGGGACACCTGGACGTGGCCGCCTTGACTCAGCCTACCAGCTCTCTACCTGCTGCAGGCAGGGAGATGGAGTAGCCCAGCCCACTGCCGGCCTCCCGCCCCTGATTTCCCTTGATAATAAATTGGAAACCGAAACCGGGTCAGGATGCCCGGCTTCTAGTGAGAGATGAGTCACTGCTCAGAACCCTGTAGTGGCTGAGAAGTGGCAGCAGAGAGGCAGACGCAAGCCAAAGGCGGAGAGGCAGGCAGGTGAGAGTGGAGGCAGGGAGGGGACCTCCTGGGATTCAGGCTGCCAGGCAGGAGCAGCGGCCTTGGGACCCATAGCAGGGAAGCTGGGTGGGGTGGCAAGAGGCCAGCTTCCCCTGTTACCAGGTGATATTGGAGGCAAAGGGCAGGGCGGGGAGGGTGCAGGCCGGCTGGGTGGTGGCCCAGGACACCCCGAGGGAAGCTGGAGTGACCCTCCTCGGCACATCTGAGGTCCCACCCCGGGCACATCAAGGGTCCCCACGGAGCATGGCTGGCAGCCTGGAGGTGGTGGCCATGGACTGCGAGATGGTGGGTCTGGGGCCACTCCGGGAGAGCGGCCTGGCCCGCTGCAGCCTCGTGAGCCTCTCCGGTTCTGTGCTGTACGACAAGTTCATCCGGCCCGAGGGGGTGATCACCGATTACAGAACCCGGGTCAGCGGGGTCACACGTCTGCACATGGAGGCGGCCACACCCTTCGCAGAGGCCCGACGAGAGGTGAGTCAGGGGCCAGAGGGCAGCGAGCCCAGGGGGAGCAGACGACCCCCTCCCACGTCCCCAGCTTCTTCTCTGGGGTCTGCGCCCCACCCTGCTGCAGGGAGAACCTGAGGTTTCCCATCACCAGAGAAACCAAGATTCACATCTGGTTCCTGGCCTAGTGGGGAAACTGAGTCCCGCCTGACCCTCCCCCACACAATGTCTAGAGGCTCTTCCCCCAGGCTGGGCCTTCGCTGGGGAGCCCGGGGTAACACAGCTCCTGGGTGGACCAGAGCTCCCCGGACTGTGGGACCGAGGGAGGTCCCACCCGCTGGCCCAGGACAGCCACCCGCTCAGTTTGAAGCCCAAGCTTGGGGCTCCAGAATTCCCCGCCCCTTTGCTTTTTAGCTTTGGTGATGCCAGCTCCAAGTATAAGTTTCTGTTTCTCTGAAACAGAAGGGGAAAGCAAAACTCAAACCACCTAGTGGTTTCCCCGGGGTTAGTCCTCTGGGAAGGTTCAGCCTGTAGGGAAGACCGCAGTTAGGGGCTTTTTTTTTAGGGAGTTAATTTAATAAGCTTTAAATAAAAATGATGTTGTAACTTAGTAATTATAAACAGCCATGGTTGGAGGTACTAGAGTTAGGATTTCAATATGCACGTTGGGGAGGGGGACTCGCCCATGGCACTGAGGGACTCCCCTGAGGTCAGAGGTCAGGTCAGGGAGCTACAGCATAGAAGAGTGAGTCAGGATCCAAATCTGGCTCCAATCCTGCTGGTTGGTTGGAGCTGAGATGTGCTGTAATAGCCACACTGGATTCCCATACTGTTATTAAAAAAGGAACCACACAGCACTTTACTACTTTTTTCATATTGACTATATATTGAAATGATCATATTTTTGATATGTTGGTTAAAGGAAACACTAAAATTAACTTTACATGTCCCTTTTAACTTTTAAAAATGTATCTATTTAGGGTTTTTTGTTTTGAGATGAGGTTTTGCTACGTAGCCCAGGTTGGCCTTGAACTTATGTCGTCCTGGCTCAGCCTCCCAAGTGCTAGGTAAAGATATGTGCACCATGTTCAGCTTCTTTTTACCTTGCTAAATATGGCTATTAAGTGATTTAGAATCACATCTGTGGCACATTATATTTTGTTGGATGACACTGTTCCAGAAATAGGATTAAAAGGATAGCAGTGGAGCCCGGGGCAAGAGCACAGCAAATCAGTGTGAAAGATACATGTGGCCAGTGGCATGTGAAATGAGTGGGGGAAAGGATGTGCATGTAATTTAGTGAGCCATAGCGAGCCATTGAAGATTCTTGAGCAAGGGCATGGCAGGATAAAAACCAGTTTCAAGAAAACCAGGAGTTGTTGGAAGGGATACATGGGAGTGAGGGAAGGGTTGAAGGAGACCAGAGGAGAGGCACCAGGAAGGGCAGGGCAACGCAGAGAAGAGGGCTCTGTTCAGGACACTGCAAGGCATCCCCTAGCCTAAGATTCCCATTGAGCAGCCCAGGTGGACAATCTGTCCTCGTTCCCAGCTTCCCTCTCATCAAAGTGACGCAGGTTGGCAGAAGAGCCTAGGGGGTATAGAGAAAGGCTCTTGCATTCCCTGGGCCGGACCCAGAGGGCCGGAAACCGCAAATCCCTGACATGCTGAGCACTGGCCTGGGACACCTTGCTCAGTCTCCTTCCCCGTTAGGAACCGTGCTGAGCCTCAGGCCGCAGGTGCGCGGGACACCGAGTCCTGCCAGGGTGGCCGCCAGCAGCTCTCCAGAATCACACCCTGGCTGCGCAGGGCCTGCTCTTCACCACCTGCTCTGGGGCACATGGGGCGAGTTCTGGAACTTCTGCCTCCTTTGTGGCCTCAGGCAGGCAGATGAGGTACACAGACCAAAGGCAGTCAGCCCTCTCCTTCTGCCCTTGAGAGGGCGGCCCGGCTGCTCGGGCTCCTGCCTGCTGCCCTGTGCTGCTTGCTGCCAGCTGCCCACTCTACTGCCTGAGCAATGTCACCAGGCCAGCTCAGACCCTGGCTGCTGTCAGTCACATGTGTGTGGCATGATCAATAAATATGGTGAGTATTCAAATTTTTTAAAAAATCGTTATAGTAAAAGACACATTGCCATTAACCCCCCTCAGAATATGCCCCTCACTTTGAGCACACGTATCCTGTCATTCTTGCCCTTTTTGAAGCAGTGCTGGAAGTCCTCTTCCGTGAGTGTCTTTAGTTGTGCTCTTGTGGCTGCCTTGATGTCCCGAACCAAGTGGAAATATTTACCTTTCGTGGCCGTTTTGACTTTGGGGAAGAGAGAGAAGTCGCACAGTGCCAGGTCCAATGAGTAAGGTGGATGAGGACACACGGTCGTGTTTTTAGGAGGCTGCCTTTCTATTGGATGGCCTTCAGCAGCAGCATTCACTGTATTTTAATCACACCTCGTAAAGACACTCAGGGAAGAGGACTTCCAGATCTGCTTCAGGAAGTGGCAAGAACGATGGGCTAAGAGTGCTTGAAGTGAGGGAACTCATGGCGATGTGTGTTTAACATGACATTTTTAAATTTAAATGCTCGCCATATACTTGATCACCCCTTGGACTTCCCACTGTCCCCTGCTGCCTCAGGTACCCTGGCCCAGGGCTCTACCCCCGCCCGCCCGCTATTCCTGCCTCTGCTGAGCTCCCTACCACCCATCCCTGGCTCCAGCCTCGCTGCTCTGTGCATCCTCCAGCCCTGCCCCTACCAGCCCCGTGTGAAAGGAGCCTGGTGGGTGCTGTCCCCTCCCTGTCCCTGTCCTTGTCCCTCCCGGCCCCCACAGTGCGCTGGCTCTCTCACCCCTTCCTCCTGCCCACGCACTTTGTAGCTTGCCTGTCCGCGCCCACATCTGTCTCTTTCCCTATCTCCGGCTCCTTCCGTTTTCTGCCCCCAGGCTGAGTGCTGGGTGAGGCACTCGGAGGGGCGGGAGTGTGCCCGTGGGAGGGGAGTTGAGCCATTCTCATAAGTACAGGAGGGTTTGGGCAGCTGAGTGCAGCAAAACCACCTCTGCTGTCCTGCTGGCTTTTGCTGTCACCCTTTGTCCAGCTGCCCCAGGCGCATGAGCCCTGAGGCATGGAGCGGGCACACTGACTGGACTCATGTCCCCCTCCAACTCTGCCCAGAGGGCTCTGGGTCCTCTGGCCCATTGCTGCCCCTCTCTATGCCCCCTCAGTACAGCCCTCTGTGACATGAGGATGACACAGTATCACAGGTGTTTTTATCCTGCCGTGCGCTTGCTCAAGAACCTCCAACGATGTCCAGAGAGGGACAGTGACTTCCCTAAGGATCCTCAGGAAGCTGTCATACAAGTCAGGGCTCAGATTTAGGGCTCCCCCCTGGTGGTAATTTTTGACAGCTTGTAACCCACATTTGTGAGTTAAAACTCATGTCAGCCTACCCCACAAAGCCTGTGGTTTCGGAGGAGTACGTGCAGAGAGGCCTCAGGAGCTTGTGACTGGGGAGTGGCTTTCGCATGGGTCAGAGTGTCCCGCTGGGGCTCCGCCACCTGGCAGGTCCCGCTGGGGCTGGGCCAGAGGGAAGAGGAATTCACGATCTAGATAAAGCCAGGGTAGATGGCACAAATGGGAGCAGGGGCAGCCAGAGTGCACGGCAGGGGACCGAGGACAGAGGGTGACCGGTGCCACTCCTGAAGATGGCAGCAGGGACTGGGTCCTCTGCAGCCCTTCTGCAGTTGGTCAGATCATGAGCCCCTCGTCTTTGTGCACATCATAGCCCCAGAAGGGTGCCCTGCCACTGAGTGCTCAGAGGTGCTGCTAACACTGACTTCACAGTGATGGGGTCCAGTGGATCTGGGCGTGGAGCTTGCACCTCGCCAGCCAGGTGACCTGGACAAACCCCCGGCCCTAACCTCTCTGATCTTGCTCCTCCTTTAAAATGAAACTAAAAATAGTCTGGAGCAGAAGCCTCCTGGCCAGGTGAGGCCAGCACCTGGCCCGGTGCCCGGCTGATAAGGGGGAGTGGTGAATGCCCACCGAGGTTCTTTCCAGGAATTTGAGAATCTCCACTCCCGGTGTTGGTGAATTCTGGCATGCCTGCTGCGTGAAGGTCCTGAGGCCCCACCTGCTGCTGGCACCTCCCCAGCCCTGCCTCTGAAAGGTAGCAGAGCCCTGGCTGCTGATGGGCCTTTCAGGTCCCACCAGTCCAAGCCTGCACCTTATAAATGTGAACACAGAGGCCCAGAGAGGGTCCTTGACACCCTGAGGCCACACAGCAAGTCCAGTGGTCTTTCCTGTCCAGACCTACAGAGTCATTGGCATCTCTCTGCCGCAGATATTCCCTTCTTTCCTTTCTTCCTCTTCCTTCTTCTGCCTCTTGTTTTGTCTCATGATGAGTTCCATGATGCCCAAAGCAGGGCCACCCCCCACCCCCACCCCGAGTCTGGGGTTCAGGAAGTGATGAATTTCCCAGGAATCCACAGCACGATGACTCGGCCCTCTATGTCTGGGACCAGCAATGCCTGTCTCTGGAAGGGCGGGTGAGTTCTTCAGGACTGTGTGTGAACTGGGCCCGAGCCAAGCTCCTAGACAAGAAAAGCAGATCACATTGTTCAGAAACATAAAGGATATTAGCAAGAGCAGGCACATGGCCATGGCCTCCACCTCCACACTGAGGTCCTTCTGAGCCCCCAGGCCATCAGGATCGTGTTGCCTATTAGGAACACAGAGCCCTGAGCCAGGCATGGTAGCCCATGCCTGAAACCCCAGCATTTTAGGAGGCTGAGGCAGAAGGATCAAAAGTTCAAGACCAGCCTGGGAAATTTGGCAAGACCCTGTCTCAAAATAAAAGCTGAAAGGGGGTGAGGCTATTGAGGATACAGGTTAGTGACAGAGTGCCTGCCTAGCACATGCAAGCTCCTGGGTTCAATCCCCAGTGCCAAGAAACAGAAGAAGGAGAAGAAAGAAAAAGAGAGAGAGCTGTCCAAAGTAGAAGAGCCACGAGTGGCCCTGCAGCCCACCACCACCCCGCTCTGTCCCCCAGTCCCCCCCTGGCATCCTCTCCAGTGGCAGCCAAGTTAATGCTGATTGGGCTGTGGCTCTTGGGCGGGAGGTGGTCCACATGGGCAAGGCAGCCAGAGGGAGCTTGGGCACACTTGCAGGATGGTGATAAGGGGTGCTCTGGGTCTGTCCCCCACACCTGGGCCTGTGTGACAGTAACAAGCAGGTGCCTGGAAACCTGGCTCTGCCACCAGCCAGCTGCGTGACTATCTAGCTCTGTAACGGTGCTTAGCAAATCACCCAAAGTTCATGGTTCCACAGTGTCAATATTGATTCACTCATGTGCCTGCAGGGCTGGGTGGTGAGGACAGAGCGTGAAATGAGGGATCTTGGAAGCTGGGCCAGAGTCATAAGAAAGTCCCCTCTGCCCCCGTCTGGTGCCAGGTCCTGGCTTCCTTGGGTTTGTCTCTGTCTCTGGGTGACCTCTTCCCATCATCTCTACAGCTGGTGGCTTGGGGCTGACCGGGCCTCTCCCATATCAGTTCAAGGCTCCTAGGATTCCAGCCCTTGAGAGAAGTTAGGAGTCACACAAGCCATCCCAGATGCTTGGGGAGGGATTAGATTTCATCTTTTTTACCTATGAAACTTATTTTAAAAACCATCTGAGGAACTTTAGGCAAATCACTGTGCATCCATTTTTCTTTTGTAAAGTTTGGTTCAAGGCAGCAGGCCCTCCTCACTGAACTAGTTTGCTATGGCTGCTAAACAAAGCCATCCACTTAATGGTTTCAAATGACACCCATTTATGTTTGTTTGTTTGGTTTTTTTGGTACCGGGGATTGAACTCCAGTCCTTGTACTTGCGCAGCAGGTGGTAAAACCCTGAGCTAAATCTGCGGCTCTCAAATGACACACATTTATGACCTTAGAGTTTTGTAGTTCCAAAGTCCAACATGGTCTGGCTGGGCCAACATCGAGGTGTAGCAGGGCTGGTTCCCCTGGAGGTCCAGGGGAGAAGCCATCTCCTTGACCTTCAGCTTCTAGAAGCTTCCTGGGTGCCTCGACCTTGGCCCCTTCATCCAACTTCAAAGCCAGACACAGCTCATGAGTTCTTCTCACATGGACCTGCTCTGACCTTGGAGACCACCCAGATAATCCAGGACCATTCCCTACGTACGGCCACCTGGTTGGCAATCCAAGCACCCCTTTGTCATGGAGCAGGGCTGCAGGCTCTGAGTCAGGGTGTGTGTGGCTTCAGGAGGTCATCATCCTGCTGCTGCCACAGCACTGTGGAGAGGCTTGCAGGATTCCGTGTCCCCTCGCGGGCCGGCACAGGAAGTGGTCAGTAGGCCACAGAGAGGTCCGGGGGCTCTGGGCACAGTTCACCCTGGTCTCATGGAGAGCTGAGGAGGGGCACTTCTGCCAGCCCCTGCCCCACCCGGAGGCCACTGTGGAACACTGGGTGGACGTGTGCATGGTGCACATCTTCCCGGCAGATCCTGCAGCTCCTGAAAGGCAGGCTGGTGGTGGGTCACGACCTGAAGCATGACTTCAAGGCACTGAAGGAAGACATGAATGGGTACACTATCTATGACACGTCCACCGACTGGGTGCTATGGCGTGAGGCCAACCTGGAGCACTGTAATCGTGTGTCCCTGCGGGTGCTGTGTGAGCGGCTCCTGCACAAGCGCATTCAGGTGAGGGCTGCTTCCTCCTCCACCCCCCACCCCCCCACTTCCTCTCTCCCTTTGCTCCTTCCCTCCCCACCATGCAGGCCACCCGGACAGGTCAGTGGGCCTGCCTGGGGCTGTTCCTAGGTCCTGCCTGGACCTGCCTCTCCCTCCAGGACTCTGAACTTGTCCCATGGCTCAGGGGCAGACTGCTCCTTTCACCCCCTGAGAGGCCATGTGGCTGTGGGGCCATGGGGTGTCTTAGCTTGGGCCTCCCAGAGAGGAGGATGGGCTTTGCAAGGTGACCCCGGGACCTGCTGGTACAGAGCAGGGGGCCAGCACCCAGTACATGTTTGCTGTTGGTGATTAAATCAAGCCAGTTACCCTGTGGGTATGAAGCTGTTGCTACTGCAGAACCATAGGACACAGTGGCTCATGCATATAATCTAGGGCCCCGGGAGGCTGAGGCAGGAGGATTGCAAGTTCTAGCTCAGCCTGAGTAACTTAGTGACTTAGTGAGATCTTGTCTCAGAAGAAAAAATTTTATAAGGCTGAGGATGCAGTTCAATCCCCAGTACTGGCGCCAGGGAGTTGGATATTACAGCCCCACTGCTCTCCCTGGTGGACTCTGGATTCCTCTGGACATCTGGCCAGATGTGGCTCAGGGTCACCCAGGGGGAGGGCCTCCGGTCGGTGAGCACCGACTCCATGCCAGGCATTGGGGACCTGCCCAGCCTGGAGAAGGGAGGAGGCCGGGAGCAGATGGCCACACAGGCTGGCAGGAGGGCCAGGCATGAGGGAGGCAGTGGCCCGGGGTGGGGGCAGGGCAAGGAGGCCACTCTCTACTGAGGGAGGCCAGGAGAGCTCAGCCAGCTGCACCAGCCCCACAGACCCCACCACTGGGTCCTCGCCAGGATGCCAGGACCAGGCAGGCAGTGTGGACAGAGTGAGGGTGACCCCAGGGGACACAGGCCATTCTGTGCAGCAGCAATCCCAGCTCCACAGCCTTTACCTTGGGCATGAGCCTCGGTTTCACCACCCATGAAATGGGAGACCCTCCGATGCAGCCAAAGCTGAAGAGATTACATGGGCCTGATGCTGGTGCGGAGAGAGGTGGCGAATGGCAGTCACTTCTCCCACCAACAGTTGGAGTGGCCTTTGACTTCCACCAGCACCTCCACCCCATAAAGTGCAGACTCCCCCGAGTGGCATTCAAGGCCTTTACTAAGGGCCCCCAGATCACCTCCCCACTGTCTACCCAGAGCTCTGATTTTAGTGGCACGCTCTCTTCGTGCCTCTCCAGTGCTTGCGCCCCTCAGGGTACCAGGTACTTGGGGTGTCTCATTCCATCCTCCGCAGCAGGTACCACCTGGTCCGGTCTCCACTTGCTGATGCCCCTTCCTTCCTGAGCGGCCCTTCGCATGCCCCCAGCTGGAGACCCTTGCTCCATCCTGGTGCCCCAAGCTCCACCTTAGAGCAGCTGCTCTGTGCCTGGATGTGTGCATGGCTGCACCCCTGTCCTCCACAGGGCCTTTGCTGGGGGCCCAGCCTCATTCTTAGGATGGGGGATTTCGTGCCTGGCCACACCCTTCCATACCCATGGAGTCAGGGGCCTGGGGAGGCTCCAGCCCACTAACCCACTTTTCGACTGGGAAACTGGGGGGTGAGCAAACCCTGAGCCTCTGGATTCAGCCGGCTTCCAGCCCCACCCTGTGTCTGTCTGTCTGTCTGTCTGTCTGTCTGCAGAACAACCTGTTGGGACACAGCTCTGTGGAAGATGCGAAGGCGACCATGGAGCTTTACCGGCTCTCTCAGCGGATCCGAGCCCACCAGGGGCTGCCTTGCCTGGCAGGGTCAGACTGAGCCCGTCCAGCCCACTCTGCTCCGGGACCACAGGCTCCCTCTGCAATGGCAGCAGCTTTCTTAAGAGTCTTTGGAAGATGCATTTTTACTAGTAAAAGTGGTTCTCTATTTTGTCTACTCCAATGGACCCTCTCTTTGTCTTCCCTTCTCCCCTTCAAGCCAGGTTAGCCATGCGCAGGACCCAGGCTATGTGCTGTGCACTGGGAGGGAGTAGCGCCCATATCCTCCTGGTGGGTGAGGGCCACTTCCTGAACACCTTGACTCTGGGGACCCCTCGGAGCTACCTAGGAACCCAGGTGACAAGTGGCTTCAGGGCTCCCTCTGCCCCACTTTTCCTATAGCATTTATGTCCAAGGGAGGCATTATTTCCTGGAAGGCATGCGTCTCTGGGGTCCCTCTCTCTCATTATGAGGCCAGTGCTGTGGAACTTGTCAGCTTTGAAGCAAAGCTACACACTAACTGTGAATTGAGGAGACAAAGGTAGTGAACTCTGAGTCAGGGAAGACTGGGTCAGAATCCTGGCTTTGCTATTTAGTAGCTGCGTAACCCAGCCCAAGTTGTTTACTTCTCTGTCTTAACCCTAACCTGTGCCTCAGTTTCTCTGTCTATAAAACAGGAAATAGCAACTCACTGGGTCCCTAGGAGGTGTTGAGGGTAAAACCTCTAACACCTTTCCTGTGCTGGCTGAAGCATCCACCAAAGTCAGTAACTATTGTTATTCCCTGACCACTTGCAGATCTGGGGGTCATGGGGCTGGGGCAGGGGGTGGTGGTGGCTGCACTCCACCCTGAGGGCCCAGCTGGAAGATGAGGTTTGGCCTCCTTAGAATCAACTGCAGATTTTTGGGGGGGCAGGGCTTGCTACTGGGGATTGAACTCAGGGCCTTCACCCTGAGCTACATCCCCAGCCCTTTTTTATTTTTAAATTTGAGCCAGGTCTTGCTAAGTCACTAAGTTGTTCTGGCTCAGCTTGAACTTGCCAACCTCCTGCCTCAGCTCCCATAGTTGCTGGAATCACAGGTGTGTGTCTCCACGCCTGATTGGAATTGTTGTCATTTTAATCTGTGCCTGGTCCCACCCTGGATCTTAGTTTTTTAACCTCCACAGCGATCCTGATCCCAGACCATTTGAACCTGATTTGCTTTCCAAGCAATCCTGGGACCTGATCACGGTGCCCACGGGTGAGCGTGGTCATCGTCCCCTGAGGGTGCTGGCCTCAGCCCTGGAGCTTCAGATTCAGCCATCACCCTGAAATGTACCTGTCCAACATGCTCCCCACTGATGGTGATGCTGGCCTGGAGAAGTTCAGTCTACAACGCGCAGCATCCTGGTCACCTGTCTCTGCCCTTCCTGCCTGATCCTGCAGAGGGAGGCTCGCTGCCCTGCAAGACGGTCCTAGAGCAGCCACTGCACCGAGGAAGTGCTTGGCGTGAGGTGAAGGACCTCAGCCCGAGTTCTTTTCTCAGACTTTGCAATGGCAGGTCCTCCCATCGGCCTCGGGAGATCTGGAGGCTCCCTCCCACCACTGGGGAGCCGCAGCTTGCTGTCTCAGGACGCTTTCTGCCCTGCCCTCCTCCCTCAGGCCCACCGTCAAGACCAGCGCTCTGCTTTTCTGTGATTTTTAATGAACCTTCAAACCTTCCGAGTGCGTTGGCTGTGTCTGGCTGTAACTGGCCACCAGGTGGCGCCCTCGCGCCATCAATCCTCCAGGCGGCTTCACAGGCAGAACCCGCGTGAGTTCACTGGGATGAAGTGTGAACTGCCCTAAATTTAAAAAGGTCAGGGGGAGCTGGAAGTGGTGCTGCAGGCCTGCATTGCAGACTCTGGGAGAGTGAGGTAAGAAGATTGAAAGTTCGAGCCTCCCCTGGGCAACTTAGTGATTTAGTGAAACCTTGTCTCAAAATAAAAATATAAAAAAGACAGGGGATGTAGCTCACAGCTCAGTCTGAGGTTCAATCGTCAGTATAAGGAGGAGAGGATTGAGGAACCAGCCACAGACATGAGGCTCAGAGAGGGGCTGGGCTGTGCCCCAGGTCCTGCGGTGATGTGGGGGTCCTGGGAGGTGACCCCATGGCCTCAGTTTCCTGAGTTCCCAAAGCCCGGCATTCCCAAAAGAAGCCACCAGTGCCACTTCCTGCTTCAGGAGCTGATGCTTGGATGCCCCAGGGGAAGGGGAGAGAAAACCTGGGGACCCCTCCACCTCCCAGGCCAACACCCCGATAGAGCCAGGACCCTGGCTGGCTCAGAGGCAGCTGCTCGGGGCCCACTCCTGGGCCACCTCCTGGGCAGCCAGTTTTACGTTGAGGGCTCCAGGAAGAGCACGAGCTTTGTCACCAGCTCGAGTGATGCCAGCGAGTGTCACACCTGACCGAGAAGGGAACTGAGCTCTCTTGCTGGGTGCCCAGTCTCTTCCCTCAGGCCCCAGTGTTCCCGCTCTGGGCCCCACCCCAGGGCTCTGGGGGCCGTTTCTGCTGGGAGGTTGACTCTGCTGCCCTTGGTGGTTAGAGCTGTTCCTGGAGGCCACAGCACACCAGCATGGTGGTGGCAGGGGCAGTGGCAGGGTCCTAGTCCAGAAGCTGTCTCTGGGACCAGTCGGGGCCAGACAGCTCATGCATCTGGTCTCAACTGAGCCCATAGGAAGCCTGTCCCCCCTCCTGCTGTCCTGGGAGTGTTAGAGGGTGGTTTCTTCAGAAATGGGTCGCCAATCAAAAGTATTCCAGGTCCTTCTTGCCTTAAACAAAGAATTAGTTGAGACAAGTCAAAAATGGTGCCAAAAGTTTATCTGAAAAGTGCGGGGTAAATGGGTATGGGAGAAACCAGCTCGGCAGAGCAAACTTGCGCCAAACGAAGAGAAAAAGAGGGTAAAGCAAAAATGTGCATCTGAGAAAAGCAGTGCAGACGCCATGCAAGCTTAACATGATAGTGATCCTTTTTATGCCGTCCACATCACCCGGGAGCTCGAGAGAAGCTACCTACCGGGGCCTCGTGTTGCCCTGGGATCTTGTGATTGGCAGGTCCCACTCTTGCCAGCCAGCTTTGCCACGCCCATACTCCTATATCAGGAGGGCCTAGGGTACCCAGGAGGGAGACACGGGTGCGTGGTCAGCGCCTCTGCTTTGAGGGCACAGGAGTAACCAGGCCTGGAGACCCAGGTACCTGCGAGGTGGAGTGGGAATGGGCAGTTGTCACTCAGTCCTGGTGAACGATGGCCATGCAGAAATGTGGGCAGTGGGCACATTGTTGGGGCTGTGTCCACCAGGCACCGGACACCTTCACCTGTGGCCACCCACCCCTGGCCAGCTGTGCCCAGTGATAGAAAAGAACCTCTAAAAGTGAGCTTGGAGGGCAGGTTCCTGATTTATCCACAGGAACCCTGGAGCTCCCTGCCAGGACAAAGCCACCCCACTCTGACCTGTCGTGTACCTTTCAGGTGGCTTTCTGTCCCAGCCCTCTGGTTCAGTGTCCCAGTTCTTCAGGGCTTTCTCTCCTGGGGGGTCCTCCCAGCTTCCCTTGTCCCAGCTCCCTGTCCTGGTCCGCCCCACTTCCCCCAACATCACTCTCAGTGGGGTCTCGACAGATGGGGACAAGACTGGTGGGGGATGGACCCAGTTGACAGTGTCAACTGGCCCAGGGTCAGGCCAGGGATGTAGCTCAATGGCATTGTGGCTGCCTCCCAAGTGCAAGGTCCTGAGTTCGATCCCCAGTACCAAAAAAAGAAACAAAAAGAGCAGTGTCCTCCTTTGGGCCCAGCTTGGTGGAAAGACCTAAGACACTGTAGACATTTAGGTCTGCAGGGTAAACTAAGGCAACAGGAGCAAAAGTTACCACCCCACCACCTCACCACGAAGCATCAAGGGGAATGGGGGGGTGACCCTGCCTGGCTGAGCACCTGAGTCACTTCTGACGCCAGGGGGGAGTAAGGCGGCTGGAAAGCCCGCGCATCTGCCCCCCTCCAGCCCCTTGTCTTTTCCTCCCTCCTCCTCCAGCCCCCCCCACCTCCTCAGCACCCTCTTGCTCCACCTCCCCTGAGCTGCTGAACATCCCCACATCCAGCCCCAGCCCCTTCTGAAGGCCCCGCTGTCCCCCAGGGTGCGGCCAGTCCAGCCTGTTCCCGGAGCCCCAAGGAGCACTGTGTGCCGGCCACAAGAGGTCTACTCGCTCCAGGAACAGCCCTGCTGTATGGAAAGAACATTTGCTTTTCCTGCAGCCGGCAAGGCCTTCGGGAGGAGGAGGCTGGCACTGGCCTGGCCCCAGCACCCGAGCTTCATGCTGGGTGTGTTTTGTGCTCTAGGCACAGGGAAGAGAGAGAAACTCGGGTCAGGACCTGGGTTTTAGGGCCCTGAGCCTCCCATGGTGCAGGGATTACAGATGTCACCATGGCCGGAGTAGACTACTTTTTAAGAAACACCCATGGGGGGGGCGGGGGGTCTTCAGCTGTGTACATCACGCTGCTCTTTGGGGTCCCCGGTGGCACTGAGGTAGACTGGCGGACAGTGGTGACTGGACTGATGACTCACTTGTCAGTGGCGTCCTTTGCTCCCCACTTCCAGCACCACGTGCCCCCTGACTCCAGGTGGTAGAAACAGACAACTCCAAGGGCACGGTTCTGGGAGGCGGGGGTTTAGCAGGCGACCAGCGCTGAGGGCTCTGGCTTCGTGAGTGACCCAGTGTCAGGAGGACCACTCTGCACCTCCGCTCACTCGCACTCGCTTCCTTCTGCCTTCCAGCGCCTGGCCTGCGGGTGACCGCACAGTAAGGCGCCTGCCTTGGCCTTGGCCTTCCTGGCTCCCAAAGCTAAGGGGAAATTCCTTCCTTGTCTTCCTTCCATCTTTCTTCTTTCTTCCCTCCCTCCTTTCCTCTTTTTTTTTCTTTTTCTTTTTCTGGTACTGGTGATTGCACCCAGGGCCTTCACACGGAGCTACATCCTCAGGCCTTTTCTTAATTTATTTATTTATCTATTTATTTAGAGACAAAGCCTTGAGGTATAGTTCAGGGTGGCCTTGAGTTCACTATGTAGCCCCAGCTGACCTTGAACTCTCGGTGATCCTCCTGCCTCAGCCTTCCAAGTGCTGGGATTACAGATGAAATGCATTTCTCTTAAACCAGACTCTTTTTTTTTTTTTT